TAATGTCACATTTTTGGTCCCTTAACTTATGCAAATTATCACATGCATTTTTGTACCATTATCAGGTAAGCTAAATCAGCCTGCTCTTTCACCTTATAACTGCATACTTCAATCAACACTTGCATATCTAGTCCTTATCCTCAGTTATTTCTCATATCAATTAGACAAAAGTCTGACTTCTCATTAGTAGACTTAATAACTTAGTGTTCTAATTAAGTAGCAGATAGTTCTGGAATTCATCACATAAATGTACGGAAGTACAATTAATGAAATGAATATGTTAAAATAGTTTCAAGGTGTATAATTGATGGAATCATCAAATTCATTCATAGTCAATACTGAACTTTAAGTGTTCCAGGTTATTATGAAGTCTTAACATTGGATAAGTGTTTTCTGTTAGTGTAAAAATTTAACAAAGATTTCGTTAAGTGAACCATTGAAAATCAAGAAGCAGTGAACATTTGTTTTATCATGAGAATTTCAGAGATTTCATCTATGATGACATCGGATATCATATACAACTTCTTTAGCTTATCTGGTGAAAGGTTCACCTGTAGATGAATGACTCAACACCGACAGGTATACATATCCAAATTTAGTCGATTGATCAAATTGTGCAGTCATCTGCAACGTCAATTGGTTTGTATTCATACCCAACATGATTGAAGTTTACCAGTTACTGTCTGTTTCTTAGTTTGATTTGTAGGCTTCATAAAGGGATAATTTTCATTAAAACGACTTATCGTTTTAATAAATATGTCCATTTGGTGAAATTCAATAATGGAATGAAAAGATGAAGGTGTTAAGTATTCTAATTGAATGCGAGATCGGGATCCTAACCTTTTCTACTAACCGTCAGGTTAAATCTACACAGCGACTTGAACATAAGACATAAGGTTCGAGTCATAAAAGAAACACTTTACTCCAAGGTTTGTTTATCTACAGAAAATCTAGTGTTTTTATAGCATTTCTGTTGAACTTGGGCTACTGGGAAATTCTGAAATGCTACTAAATATAGTAGCAGTATAAGTAATCATCTAATCAGAAACTCGACATATGAATTTTCACTTTCTAGATGTTACTAGCAAAACATCTATTGAATAAGATGCTTCTCAGTGTTTTCAAAGTCTTTTCAGGCTTTTTTTCGATGAATTTTCCGGATCTCCCCAACAGAACGTTATCAGCATTATCTGATATATCTACGCAATACATTTAGAACAATCTGATCTTGAATTCAGTCACCAGTGAATACATGATGATTAATATTAGAATAGGAGTTCGCGTAGATTGTAGTCATTTTAATAGTTGAATTCATGAGTTGATGTCAGTTAGATCACCACTGAAAACCTGGAAGAACTGGATAGCTAGTATGAGACTCCTAGCCAGTGAGTATCTACGATCTTGTACGTGGGACTCCAAACCACGATTTTAATTCTCTCATTCGAACGCTCAACCACTAGACCACTGAGTCAACATCTTTTCATATATATAATGTCTTAATCAATATATGGGTGATCAGACTATTCGAAATGTTCATGATGAACTAATCATATTTCAAACAATGTAATAACTCAGTAGCTTAGTAGATAACATGATGATGTTTGAAGCAAACAGTACTGGATTCGAGTCCCGGAGTAAACATGAACTCGGATTCAGGTACATCCATCTGACGAGCCTCAAGTGGGACGAAATGTATGTCTTGAATTTCATTGCTAGCCACCATCCATCTCTGCTTTTAATACTTATAATTTAAGACCAAATCGAGGCAATCCGCATTCGATGCACATATGTCGATAAGAGACTGATCAAACAAACAATACAAAAGTGAAGTAATTTAATGACATAATTCATCTATACAATATCGGATATTTAAACTGGCAATCAACATTGTGTTGCAAATGAATTCGTTTTATAATTGGCATATTAATCATAGTGGTTTGGATGATTTTTTTCTGATTATCGTATTTTAGCGAAGAAAGCCCCCAACTACGTCACAAGACAAACCCTCAGTTGGAATCCTCAAAGCCAAAGGAAAAAAGGAAGACCAAAGTATAAATTACGTCGAGAAATGGAGACAGATATGAGAAAAATGAACAAAAAATGGATAGAACTGGAAAGGTAGACCCAGGACAGAGTGTTTTGGAGAATGCTGGTCGGTGGTCTTTGCTCCATTGGAAGTAACAGGCGTAAGTAAGTAAGTAAGTAAGTAAGTAAGTAATATTAATCACAGACGATAAATCTGCAAAATTTTAACACATCTCTAAAAGAAAGGGGTTTTGTGAAGATTTTAGTAATTTCGTGGTTTGGTTGAAATTAGATATTAACATCGCTGGACGCCGGCTCACTAGTGTACAGCCTAAGTGTTCGTACAAGAGACCGAATGTCCTGGGTTCGAGTCCCGTGCGTGGGATCGACTACCTCCAAACACCATCTTTTCCCAAGAAAGGTATTTTTATCGATTCATTGGATTTATTAAACCGAGGTAATCTTTAGTTAGTCTGAATAATCTACTGATTGTATATTGAGAGTGCAAACATAATACTCCATTGAGAGCATCACAGTTGTGTTTTTAGTGAAAATAAAGAATAGATTTCTTTTCATTGTGATTTAATGTGAGTTCATTATTTAATCAAATGATTTATGCTACTTATATCATTATATATAAGTAGCATGTCATATCAATGATAGAAATTATAGTTTGTAAGCGTCTTAAAATGCTTTAATCTCGAAAAGTGAATTACACCTGTCACCAGAATCCTCAAAATGTTACTGCATCGTTTTAGCCAAAACCACAATGATGTACTGTACTAGTGTGATGTATGCTACTGACGTCTGTCGACATAAGTAGTATGTAACACTAATCGAATGTAGGAAACTCTGGATTCAGAAGACTAACCAGATCAAGTGAAAGAGAATAGGTAGGGAAATATAAAGGATTCGTGAAGAAGAAGAATCATATAGAATGTAAAGAAAAAACGATGGAAATATTCAGATGAAGTATTCAATGAATGGAGCTCATATTTTACCCAGAGGTTCTCTAATTTTATACTTGAATACAATCGGTTCGCACCGACTGTATTCTCGATCATAGGAAATCTTTCTAAGCTAAACGATTGAGTGTTTATTTTGTAAAACAAAGGTATTTATAATCTCTTCCGACCTATAAGTTGTAATCGCGAATGTCATAATGCAATTTGTCGAAGAATAAAGATTTTCATTTATATTATTTAAATATCAGAAGGGTTTTGTGCATATTATAGTAACCTTTTTATAGTCGAGATCATAAATCCATTGGAGCTAGACTACCATGGAAATCCTGCAAGTACTGGATGGCCGTTTCGTCCTATTGCGAGACTCCTCAGCAGTGCTCATCCACGATCCCGTCTCGCGAGGTATGAACCCAGTACCTATCGGTCTCGTACGAGCGCTTAACCTCTAGACCACGATAGGACGAAACGGCCGTCCAGTACTTCCAGGTTTTCCATGGTGGTCTAGCTTCAATTGATTTGTGATCTTAACTATTAAAATATTATTTTATTCAAAGACGTTTTTTCTTTACCCTAAATTACTTAGCCATATTGGGCTTACACGGTGTCTCTTTTGTAAGATAATTGTTTCACACAAGTGACCCGAACGTGATAACATATGTCAAATTACATATTATTTCCATTTACACTGTTAGATTCAGGCTCAGCGGTCTAAAGGTTAGGCTTTACATGCATAAGACCGAAGGTCCTGTTGTCGATTACTTCTCACGGGTTCTTGAATACACACTGCTGAACCATTCCATACTAGGATTAAATGACCATCCATTGATTCTAGGTTCTCATAGGTGGTCTAAAATTAATCAGTTCACGATTTCAAGTAAATTTAACAAGCTCCACGATCCATTACTGACTTAAAACAGCCTTTCATTTCGTTCTGATTGGACGTTCTAATATAGAGTGTTTAGAAAAGTTTCTTCGTCAGTAAAGAAAGACGACTGCCTGAAGTACTCTATAGATTACATAATCATTATACTGTCAATAAGATTATCCAACTCTCCAAATAATCTCACTTAACTTGTTTGAATCCCATACCCATAAAATACACGAAATTTGGATGAATATATACACTTAGCATATTGCCCATACATCTACACAAGTATACACATGATGCATATCCCACAGAGCACTATCTTTGATCTGAATAACACGACATCCACTTGGTAAATATTTGACTACATTTTTCATGGTATTTAGACATATTAGTGCAGCGTCTAACACTTTTGATGATAGCAAGTTAGTTATCTATGGGTTATGGTCGCTAACCCCATGCTCGGCAGTAGACTCAGACCGGCTCCAGGAGGAGTCCTAAAAGTAATGTATTATTGCTTTATTATTGTACTACAGTAGTCTATTTTAATAAAACATAGATGTAGTAACCGGAAGACTGAATATGATAATATTTTTGTGAGTTTTCTCTGCATCAGACAATTTGAACTATACATCCGATTGTACTCAATAGTTCAATTTTCGAACAATTCATCTATTTAGCTTATCCATATCGGGCGTGAAGCAGTAACTTATCGAAGATAATTAAATATAGTTGCACGTCAACGATCCCGCATGTGGAAGTCGAACTCAGGGTTTTCTCTCAGGCACACAAACGTTCAACCTCTAAACCACTGAGCCGACATTCGACGGTATTATTGCTTGGCTTCAATCAATTCACGAAATTTCAGACAATGGAAGATGGTCGCGTATTACCGTAGATTGGTTGAATGCCAGTTGATTGGTTTATAAGTTAAGCGTCCACTCATAAGACCAAGGGTCTTGGTTTCGACTTGTGCGTGCAGGACCATAAATACGTATTATTGACGAGTCCTATGCTAGGACGAAACAGATTACCAGTGTTTTCAAGTTTTCAATGATAGTCTAACTTTAATCGATTCATGATCTTAATCAATAACATAAGAAACACTGATCAACTAAAGAAGATTATGAATAAGACATTAAATAATTGTCTATAATTTATTTAACATTAATATAGTTAACAATGATCATCCTATTCAAATTATGTAATTGCATGTGAACAAGACAATATGATCCGATCTCATCTAAAACTATACTTTGATAATCTGTTGACAATCCAGTTGATCATTTTATAAACTCTTGTCTATTGTGACAAAAGAAAAGTTACACCACCACCACCACCACAACAACAACAACAACAACAACCGCCATCCCCCCCGAAAAACAAAAGAATTTTAATTATTATTGAACAATGTAAATGATAATGTAACAGTAAAGAAATATGTTTATCCTTACGATTAACAAACGGATTGAATTCATCATGATTGTGTTTACCAAGGTGTTTGTTATATAAACTATAATGCTATTGAGTTTTACAGTGTAGAAGTTTTGTAGCTCAGGTGGATGATTTTGACGGAGTTTTGTTCTTTGAGCTGGATGGTTTGGTCATGGAGCTTATCATCGTTCTTTTGAATGACATTATCAGCATGAACTTCAGAAAGATGAAAGCTCAACGACCAAACCATCCAGCTCAAAGAACGAAATTCCATCAAAAAAAGTTTTATGGTGTAAATGACCTTCAATTAAATAGTAGGATCTACAAGTGATCTTTGTCAGGATTGGTCAATAAAACAAGTTATAATTGTTTGGGTGACAGAACGTTTAGAGGAATAATGCATATAATCAGTCTCATTTTTTGGTGTATATCAAAGTTTCGTTAGAATGAAATGCTAGATTTTATCTGTTAGGTTTCGATAAGCATAATGATTGGTAACTTTTGGGATCCAATTATGGATCAATACTATACGTATATTTTTATCGTATCATTGTTCAGTAACAAAACTATTCATATTCATGCCCCTCTTATTATAAGCTTTATTTTGACCTATGAACCATTACTATACGATTTACCATTCTTGAACTATTCCCTATCTACTAATCACTACCTCCCTCATTCATAGCCACATTTGGCTAAACCTTGTACAGATGTTGTTGATTGTTATATAGACCCAGTATGTTTGAAATAAATGATTGATATTCCAGAGGCTGAGATTGGTGTTCTGGACTTAACAGGCAGAGCTAGTCAGAAAGCAGGACCAATAAGGACTCTAGATTGCTCGCACGCGTCATTGGTCCAATCGATAATTCACTGCTGCCTAATTGAAGGTATTATTACGTATACATTAACAGGGTAACCATACCACAAGTTATAACATTATTTCTTACTATATATGCATATGTTTAAATATCATTTCTTAATTTCTATTAAAACTGTGAACATAAGTACTAAGCGAATGATGATTCAATTCTATCCTGATTGATTAGACATACAGTACTATTGTGGTATGTGCTACTTATATTGACGTAAGTAGTATATAATACGAGTCAGAAATGAAATGTCTGGCAACAGAAGGTTGAGAAGATCGAGGAGGGAAGAACAGAAACAGAAAGCGATTGGTATGAAAATTCAGGAACAATGAAATTTGAAACAATGAATGAACACTATGCTAATGAAGTATTAGAGTATGGTTTTTTCTATTTTACAAAATAACTGTCATTTCATCTTCACCTGTGTTTTCATCTCTATACTACTGTCGTGGAGGAGAACTCGTTTGAGGACAATCATAAAATCACACCTTAAGAACCTCATGAATGTTGAATGCGTATTGTAGTGAATCAGCACATACAAGTGGAGACAACAGAATGTAGTTGAATACAAAATTGCATTTTCTCTTAGTAAAATCTAAGAACCATACAATGAATACTCAATTTGCAGAATGAGTATTTAATTGTCTCAGACTTCATTATTCATTCGTTTCCACAGCAATCATTCTCTGTTCTCATTTTCTTTCCTGCTCGATCTTCTTAACGTTCTGCCGTCAGACATTTCGATTGATGATGTATACTACTTATATCTATCAATATCAGTAGTACACATGCGGCACACCATATTTACAATATAACATTGATGAAATGATTTAAACATATAGTTTAGAATACGTTTAGTAGTCATATAGAATCTATCACTTAAGAATTGACATGAAATTTGTTACTTACAAGACGGTAACGATTTTACTAGATTTTCAAATAAACAGAATCATAGTTAGAATGATTATTGTTTATTCTGAACAAAACAAATTATGATGATGATTTATCTAAAAAAGGTATCATATCAAAACTGAAGTCTTCCATTTGGGTTTACCAGTTTTGTTTAGCACATTTGGTTGCTGTGTGTCTATTACTTCCTTACTTACTTACGCCTGTTACTCCCATTGGAGGATAGTCCATCGACCAGCATTCTCCAGCTCACCTTGTAATGGACCTACCGTTCTAGTTCTATCCAACTGTTGTTCATTATTTTCATGTGTGTCTCCATTTCTCAGTGTAATATGTTCTTTGATCTTACTCTTCTCCGCTTGAAGTTGCTCTAAGGCTACTGCTGGTCCTAAGCCTGCATAAAGGAGGAGGGTTGGGCATGGTGTTAGAGACCCCATCCTTTAGAAAACTAACTCACTAAAGAAAACGCTAAATACCTTGTGAATAAGCCAGACATTATGATGTCATCACAAGTTTTAATTAAATATGAAGCTGTAGGAATAAGTGGAATACAAAGACTTATATTTCTATCTATTTACAATTTGTCCGCTGGACATGCCACTATCTATAGTGCTATTCACATAAGACATTCAATCCAATAACTTTCGTTTCAACTATCTAAAGTGTTATCTACTTGGCTAATGAGTCCAGATAAACACTAACTGATGCAGAGAGAGATTAAGTTAGATTTGTAGGTTCTTGTAATCAAATACGATGAAAATATATCAAAACAATGTGATCAGCCGTAATCCTAATCGTAAAAGGATACAAAATATCTACGTATTAAATTTATATTCATGAAAGTAACATGTAACTTTTAGGACTCAGTAACTCGTTAAAGAATACATTGAGCGTTTGAAGTGAAAGACACTGGGTTCGAACCCATTTAACAACATAAACACAATAGTACATGAAGTTGACATGTCCAATCAATAAAATGAAATATCTATCCTCTATATTCATCTTTAAGATTCATTTTTCAATCTTATAGGATCTTAAAAAAGAATCAAACTCTTTTCTTTTGTTATTAATAATGTCGTTTTGTTCTGATTGAAGTAAATAGTTTTATTAATTATGAACAAATCAGTATGAAATAACATTGTTGTCATCACATTTTTAGAAAAAAAAAGATTTTTAGTTCACATGGCAACTAAATTTATTGACATTGTGGTGTGTGCGGTGTGCGTATGTGTATTCGTGTGTGTATGTGTGTATGTGCGTGTGTGTGATACTTATGTTGACAACTAATTCATACATAGAATATAAATGACCATAGTTTATTATTACAAAAACAAATGACATTTAACTTAACTAGTACACAATATTTATACTATACTATTAATGTCAAAATGTGATTAATCCATGGCTACCTTGTTGCTAACTAATTTATATCTATTCAATTTATTAGAATATGATTAACTTACCAAACGAAAGGTACTAGAAATCTTAAATATACAAAAAGATATAACCAATCAAAATGATCAGTTCTTACAATTGTAATTAGACATGGAAACATTGATGGAAACTAGGTTAGTAAACATTCACGTGAGAGTGAAGTTTTTGTTTTTTTAAAGTTTGAGTTCTACATATAGAAACAAGTACTGTAGAGGAGATCTATATTAAAGACGAAACATGATGAATCGTCGATACATGACTGAATGATTTAAAATAATAGTTTTATACTGTCAAATATATCAATAAATGACTTACAAAAACCAAGATTTAAGGAACCTTTAATCATTCAAAGACATGTTTCAAAGGAAAAAGTCATAATACGATTATTTAAACATTCGGTTACTGTAGTTCAATTGACATCTTGGTAATTAACTAGATATGATATTTATTTACCTCTTCTACCATAATTCAACAAAATGCCGAGGAGTCCCATACTAGGACGAAACGGCTGTCCAGTGCTTCCAGGTTTTCCATGGTGGTCTAGCTTCAATGAATTCATGATTTCAACCAGTAAAAATGTATATCTGTTAAGTTAGTTAATATGGAATTTATATGGAAAGATGGATAGTGGCTAGCAGTAGAATGGAGGAGGTATGTTTCGTCCTATTTGGGACTCGTCCAGTAAACAGTACCATGTGAATTTAAACTCCATCTCATTGCACAAACACGTGGCTATCAGGACTCAGTAACTAAGTGGCTAACACGATGACGTTCGAAGAGGCACTGGGTTCAAGTCCTGGAGTGAAAATCCAGCTGACAAATGAACATATACCAATAAGAAAGTAATTAATTGCAGTCGTAAACACGAATGAAATGATTCAAATACACAATACCAAATGAATTTATTATGGGAATTGGTATGAAGAGTTCAATCACTAACAACCTAGGTGATTCAGAGTGTTGTTACGTCCAACATTAGCACATCTCATCAGTGTATATCTACGGTTTGAACTTGAATTGAACCAATAGCATTTGACATTGCATTTAAGTGCTTAACGACTCGACCACTAAATCCGAATCCAATGATGTACATTGTTGAAGTTCAATCAATTTTAGACTCAATGAACTAACATCTAGGCACTCATTTACGAAACTGGAGGTAATCAGTTCGATCCTTAGTAGTGTCAAGTATAAACACTGTCGACAAACCCTATACTAAGGCAAAAAATATTGACCAATACTTCCTGGTTCTTAATCGTTGTTTAACTTAAGTCACTTAGTGATATAAACAACATTTAGCAGTCTCTATTAACCATTATACCATTATGTAGATATCAATGGTAAGATTGAATTTAAGAGTCAATCTTAAATTTCATTTGTTATGACTTCGTTTTTTATCATTTCTTATTGAAAATCATTAGTTTTCCAAGTGTTCTTATTAACCATTCCAATGACTATGATTGTTGAAATTCTATTGTAAAACTGTCATGTCCTAATGGTCTGTTAGTTATCAAGTAATAAAACCGCCAGTTAAAGACATCGTCTTTCACGACCAGATGCATAAACCTACACGAACAGTCTGAAGTTCTTCCCGATCATCTGAAATAGTAGTTTCTGTCCTAAACCAGCCGGTTTAGTCCAGAACGCTATTATCAGCCTTCCCAATGTAAATCATATATGTCAAACATACTGGGTTTATTATAGAAACCAGACAGACAGCATTACATCATAACATCATTCCCTGAGATATAAGACGTTGATTTGTATACAGTAGTAGAATGTTTGGAGCTTAAAATTGAAATACTTCAGTTTATGATTAAAACAGTAAAACGTCTTGGAACTTACCCATATGCAGACGTAAAAAAGCTACGAAAAGGCAATCCGTTTTTTTTCAAATTGAGTTATAGTAGAAACATTTGCTCATTAAAAATGATTCCATTCAGCTTACATACAATTGGGTTGTAGTCAACTAGTTGATAGTTCTATAATTGATTACTTTATGATGTATTGATGATCTGTTGTTTGATATAACAAACGATTAATAGTTTCAGAAGGGGTTTTGTGGATATTATAATAATTTTTTTATAGTTTAGATCATGAGTCAATTAAAGGAGGACCATTATGGGGATCCTTGAAGCACTGGATAACCGTTTCGTCCTGTTGTAGGACTCTTCAGAAGTGCGCACCAACGATCCTGCCTCGTCAGACTCGAACCCAATACCTATCAGTTTCGTGCGCGAATGCTTAATCATTAAACCACTGAGCTTCTAAGTTTTCCATGGTGATCTAGCTTCAAATGGCTCATGATCTCAACTATTAAGATTAATGGTTTATTTTGTTGATCTGGAACTTAACTGGTTAGTATTTATTATTATGTTGTCATTGTTTGGAGATATATCTTGATAACTTTTTCTGATTCTCTTATCTCTGACCTTAGATTTGTTAATCCTTCTTTTTTATTTGTTATTAGATCTGATCCATTTCTATTTGTCTATCGATTGATATTTGACTTCAGTGGAAGGTTACAAAAATCCATGAACTCAGCGTTTCCTCTATCGATTATTTCAATGTTTTCCTAGTGAAATACATATTCATGGTTGTGCACAACTAGTGATATTGTGGTGTGTTCTACTTATGTAGACATAAGTAGTATATGATGTTACTCGTGAATAGAATGTCTGGCAACAGAGAGACAAGAAGATCGAACAGTAAATAATAAAGACAGAATGCAATTTGTATGAAAATGCAAGAACAATGAAGTCGGAGTCCTTTTAAGACCATTGATGAACATTTTGCAAGTTGAGCATTTACTATATGGTTGTTAGATTTTCCTAACTAGTTGTGTAATTTGTTGTTAAATACATTCGATTGTCCCCATTCGTGTTCTTGTTCACTACAATATAAACGAATCATTCATGAACTGTATCAGTTAACATGTAAACATGGTATAATTATAAGAAGTAGTTACCCCCTCTTTAAACAAATTACTATTTGCCATAGTTACTAAAATGTATATTATAGATAATATTTGATTTGATTTCGATTACGATCCTACTTCCATAATGTTTAATGACTTAGATACTTGATCGAATCTATATAAAACACAAAGTGTTGCCTAATTTAAATAGAATGGGTCAGTATTGGTTACCGTAAGTGTACTGATCGAAGGTTCTATACATGAGTAGATTTATTTTAAACTTACCCCTTTGGTTCAATACTGATAATCATTTCAAATAAAATAACAAAAGATTATTTTAATGAGAATTGAATATTAGCTAAGAGTGTTATCAACAATATACAATGTGTCCTATTTGATACCTAAATCCTGGTTTCGAGTCTCATAGATCATGAATAAGCACTGTCGAGGAGTCCTAAACTAAAACAAAACGGTTGTTCAGTTCTTCCAAGTTTTTAAAGATGATCTAACTGACATCAACTCATGAATTCAATCAATAAAATTACTATAATCTCCACAAACCTTGATTCTTATCATAATCATCATATGCTCACGAGTGATCGGATTCATCATCAGATGATTCGAAATGTATGGCCCAATATATATGACATAATTCCCATTACATTAACGAAATTTATCATAGGGACTCATTGTTTTCATAAAGAATGAAATGTCTTTATCAGTCATATGCTAATCATCAACTCTTTTAAATATAAACAGTTGAATCAATCATAATTCAATTATCTCCTTGGTTACTCAAATTAAACACTAGGAATGACCAGTCTCTAATGAATTCTACAGAAATCTATGTACACTAAAACAAACCTACAACCTAAAAGCAATATTGAGTTAATTTGGTCAATATAAGTCCTTTATATAAATATTAGAACTAAACAAATGATTATCAATAATTTCATACATATTGAATAGAACATAATAGCTTGATTGTTTAAAGCATGTTCAGTAGGTTCGAAACCTACCATTACAATCGATTGTAAAGTATAGGTACATTCAACTAAAGGGTTTCGAATGTGACAGAATCTTCTTTTTGAATTCCCCCTACTCACTAGTGCTTAGAAACAAACAAACAAACAAAAGAAACTCAATGAATATTCACTTACGTAGTAGTTTGTGCTTTTGGTGATGGAGACTCTGTAGCTAAATATGAATATGAATTGACTTTTGAAAATAGTGTGTAGTAATGATGACATATGTAATTAGGAGATTTAGAAGGGTGTCGATTTTTTCAATAGAATATGCTTATTCTATGTAATTTCATAATTACAATGTCTTGGTGAATTATAAAAACTATAGTGGAGTTTTGTTCTCTGAGCTGGATGATTTGGATGTGGAGTTTTCATTGTTCATCCAACGACATCATCAACACAAACTTCAAGTAGTTTGTGTTCGACTAAAATCATTCACCTGAGATACAAATCTTACCCTCTATATGAAAACTATCCATTACATAAGGAAAATTAGAGAGTGGCTAGCAATGAAATCCAGGACGTGCATTTCGTCCTATTTGGAACTTGTCACCTTGATGTACCTGCATGTCAGAGTTGATGTTAACTCTAGGACTCCGATGCAGTACTATTTCCTTCAAACGCTAATGCGTTAACCACTTAACTATAATGCTTGTGAATTAAGGCTATATCAAGGCAATTCACACAGTACGCACACATGCTAACAACAGACTGATCAATTACAGTCCTAAATATCAATGGAAAGATACAAATAAGCAATCAAAAGTGAATTTACACGTCATCCCATTGTACAAGCAAGTGGCTGTCAGTACTCAGTAGCTAAGTGGATAATGTGATGGCGTTTGAAGCGAACAGTACTGGTTTCGAGCTCCGGAGTAAACATTAACTCTGAGTCCCAAATAGAATGAAATGCGTGTCCTGGATTCCACTGCTAGCCACTATCCAACTTTGCTGAACAATCTACGCTAATTTAAACCTTATAAAATTCTCATTTTATCATAAAAAACATGAACTGATGTTAGTAATTCTCAAAATCCATTGAAGCAGCTATAACTAGTGTAGTTTGAACATGTCAGATGTAAAGTAGTTGTCTATCAAAGACAGTGAATTGTGTTTATTTAGTGTCATAAGTTTATTTAACTCACACATGTACTCCATTGATTACCGTCTCAGTGAAGTCATGGTTAAGCACTGGTCATCCTTTCTGAGGTAACAGAGAAAGTGTTTTTGAGGAATCTTATATTAAGATGACTCAGCTGTACAATGCAACTTTGCTTTAAGTGGCAGTTTATTTAAGGTCTATCTGTTATGCCAAATATAAAATTTCCATAAACTCTCTACAGTGGAACGTGATATTGTTTTATCTTGAATGTTTTTAATGATGATTTCATGTGGATAATGTCTTCCGTGAACAGATTTTTATGTCCATTCACAGAAAGTAAACTTGTAAACTTGATAAAAATGGATGGTTTATACAGGTCAGAGGGAGGGACAGCTTTAACTGCCGTATCATTGGAGGATGGAAGGTACTGGAATACTACTTCATTTAGCTGTAATCGTTAGTGCTCAGTTATGTCGTAAGTGGAATAGTTATCCAGCTATGAGAGTGGAGGTAGATGACACATTACCTGGAGTTACAATTGTAAACTATTGAATCCTATCTTAATAATCTGAGGGTTAAACACTAAAAAGGGATATGTCAATATTATTAGTTCAATATTTGTAATGGTCATGGATGTGAACTGTTGGAGAATTCCATTTTATGAAGATAAGACTATCCAGTTTTAGATCGTTCTTTAACTAAAGTTCAATCATATTGAAAAGCTTCAACGTTTCAAAGATCTTCTATACAAACAATTCTGAATAAAGCTAAAATCTGGAAGATTCTAATTGAGTTTTACACATGTTTTCAACGATCCGTATTTATGTAACAGTCATGAATCTATTCATCTATATGTTAAAATAGAATTCAATTAGATTCAATTAAACATTTCAATCCGTTGATCTTTATTGTGTTCTACTTCATTTATAGTATAATAATGATCTCTGAAAATCATAAACATCATGAAATTAGTAAGAATATGAACTCACTCAAAGTTGATACATTTGACTCAGTGTTACTGGGTAAAACAATAATAAATGTGTTGTATACTACTTATATAGACAGATATAAGTAGTATGTTACACTAATCGAAAAATGGAATGCTTTGTAATAGAAGATTGAGAAGATCGAATTGAAGAGAGTAGGAATGTAAACAGAGAGCAATGAAGGAATCATGGAGTATTTAATGTATGGTTTTCTGCATTTTACGAAAGAACTGTAATTTTCTATTGAATAATCATTTGGTCTCCCTATCTGAGTTCTCGTTCAGTACAATAGAAGCATCGATTAACGGAGGCAAGGTGTAGTATAGTAAAGTATTTCGTGATAGTATTTATTAAACAGATAGATCATTACATGTACTGATGGATCCATTTAGAGGATTTTGATCAAACAATTGATATACTCAGAAGATCCATAATGATAACACGACACATTTCTGAATGAGAATGATATTCGATTCATTATATATGTCCGTAACCTAGATTACAAACGTCCATTCATGAGTTATCTAAGACAAGCAAAGCTTTGAACTATGATTAAAGATTGAAATGTATTGATTAAATAACAGCACGTAACTATCAAGATCCATGAACACTAAACTGTAATGGGAGTTATGAAACATCGAAAAAGAAAGACCCTAGAAACTAATGAATTCTCCGGAATACTAAATATGTAATAGAAATAAGATATTGAGAATGTTTAAAGGGATATGATTAAAGCTATAAAATAGGTTTTATGTGAGATAGTAAGTGACTAACGACTACGGTGAACGGTGGAACAATTTCGTGGATTGCTTGAAGTTATATATTAACACTGTTGGATCCCGACCATCTCAGTGATCTAGAAGTTAAGTGTTCGCATGCGAGACCGATAGGTCCTGTGTTTGAATCTTGTGAGGCGGGTTCGTGGATATGCACTAATGAAGAGTCTCATACGAGGACGAAATGGCTATCCAGTACTTTCAAGTTTTCAATAATGGTCTGAAATCATTCGATTCATGATCTCAAACGATTACGAATTTATTGGAGTTGAAAGTATAACTACATAAATAATGGAGAAGCAAACTTTTCATCACTATGGTACTTGAAGTTGTTGTAATTAATCCCTTCTTATATGCTATGTACGTCTTGCTGTGGAATACTGGATGTCAATAAAATAGCTATCTGATTATACAGCTGATATCATTTCATGAGCATCTCTATGAAATAATAGTGATGAGAAAAATATGATCATCAAGATGGACACTTAAGTTGAACACTTTCTATATGACCATCAGTTGAAATTGCTGTCAACTTATTTTTCATAATGAGTCTTGGCTACTGATATCGATAGATATTAGTAGTATGTAACATCAATCGAAAGTGGAATGTCTAGAGGCAGAAGGTTAAGAGAATCCAAAAGAACAAGAACAGACAATGATTGATATGGAAACGAAGGAACAATAAAATCTGAGATGATTGATTGATATTTTATCAAGATGTCATGTAATTGTGTATTCAATCAAAAACTTAATAATCTCCACAACCCCATACTGATAATTAATATATGGTCACTAGTGACTAGCTTCGTGAGGAAATTCTCTGAGTTCTAGTGAAAAGCCGTGACCAGTAGAGCTAATCTATGTCGAGTAGAGACAAGTATTTACCTCATTACAGTGGAAGATGATCGCGCGATTTCATGGATTGGTTGATGTTAGACACTAACACCATTGGATGCCGGCTTAGTGATCCAGTAGGTTAAGCGTTCGCGCATGAGACTGATTCCGCGTGTGGGATCGTGGATGCGCACTGCTAAGGAGTCCCACGATAATACGAAATGGTCTTCCAGTACTTCCAGGTCTTTGACAGTGGGCTAACATCATTCGATTCATGATCTCAATCAAGTACATTCGACTGTCCCCAATTGTGTATTGTCATTCAATACAAATTTATTGTTCTAAGTTCACTTAAACTTACTTAGTGCCTACTTGTGCTGTACGTTGAAAACCTGAAAATTGAATAGACAGTAAATTAATTTATTGAACATACTTATTGGAATAATATAATTGTTATAAATTGGTTGTTACAGGTAATACTGATCCATAAATCATAATTTCACTAATGTAAAAGACACCATGACAACAGTCAATGTGATGATGAACTGATAGAATGTAAAACTAAAAAAAACACATCCTTATTAAACTATGTCTTTCTAAACTGAAAGTTTATTCTTGAATAGATGTACTGATTTCAAGTTGAATTGTAAGCATTGGTCAGCTATTTCGTCCCCAGTATGTGATACATCCAAGGATCCTGGATTTGAATCTCATGAATCTCGTTGACACAGTCCCATACTACGATGAAATAGCCATTTAATACTTTTAGGTTTTTAATGATAGTCTAGATGAAAAGGACTCATAAATTCAACTATTAAATTAGTATAATATCTACAAACCTCATTTCTGATTAATAGTAAGCCTTTAATCTAGATAATATATGGTTAGATGTCATCTTGTCAGTATTATATTTCAAAATAGATATACCTTGAGTATTCTAAGGTAATTCATTCATGATGATAATATAACCGTTATGCAATTCTTAGTTCAATATATATATATATATATATATATATATATATATATATATATATATATAAACAGCCATAAAGATAACAATTCATAGACACTTAATGAGTATATCGTAACATCATTTATCAAGTTACCATTTGAAATTGAGTTAAAATGTAAAGGTATTGAACACTAAACACTTTCCATAAACAATAGAACCAGTTAAAAAAAAACCAGTAAACAATGCTACATTCTGATAGGTTACACTTCTAGCTACATGATTACCTAGTGTTTTCAAGGTTAAGCGGTCATATAATATCATAGGTTTTGGGTTCGAGTCCTGAATATAGAATCATAAATGTACATTACTGAGATGGTGGAGAAGATTTGTAGCTCAGGTGGATGATTTTGATGGAGTTTTGTTCTCTGAGCTGGATGGTTTGGTCGTGGAGCATTCATCGTTCTTGTGAACGACATCATCAGCACAAACTTCAGATAGAAGTGAAGTGTTCGAATTTCTCCATATGCGTTTCACAGCTTGTTCTGTGCACCTCGATGTTGATTGGTTCTTATCGGGGTGCACATAACAAGCTGTGAAACGCATATGGAGAAATTCGAACACTTCACTTCTATCTGAAGTTTGTGCTGATAATGTCGTTCAGAAGAAGAACGATGAAAGCTCCAAGACCAAACCATCCAGCTCAAAGAACAAAACTCCATCAAAATGTACATTACTCCTAAATCCATCTATATGATTAAAAACATAAATTGATCACTATTAAATATCTAGAAGCACAAAACATCTATTTCATTCTAGTATATAATTCTTGAGTAATACACATTGATCATGATGTATTCAGGATTCGAACTAAGAACCTTTAATTCAACTGTACAATTCTATCTATGAAATTATTTAATAATAATTATACTAACTTACTACCACTTCCATTTATCCATCTATTAATACCATATACAATAATGAATAGAATAGAAAGAATCTTCATGAATTATACTTCAATTAGAATTAATAAGACAATCAATGTGATTATTTATTTGTTTTCTATGAACCAATAATAATGCATAGAAACAATGAAATCATGTGAATATATATATATGTACTCTATTTCATTGAACTTATTTCCATTAAGAATATACTACTTCTTGTAATCAAGATAATATAAATTGAATGTAAACAATCATATGAATAGTTAAGATTAATGTGAATACACTAATTGATTAGAATTTCATTATACTTACTCAAATGATATCGATCTCCTCTTATCATGGAGCATAGATCACTAGGTAAACTAAATCTCGGGTTAATTATAAAGTTCTTTGTCAACTTTCAACTACTTACATAAGGTGGCCGACGACCAGTATTCTCCAACCCAAAATGTCCTGAGACATTCTTTCCAGTTATATCCTAATTTTGTTCATTCTTCTCATGTCTATCTCCATTTATGGAGGTAATGTGTTCTTTGGTCTTCCTCTTCTGCTTTGTCACTGAAGATTTTATGTGAAGGTTTGTTCTGTGATGCAGTTGGGTGCTTTCCTCAATGTGTGTTCTATACACTTATAACGCTTCTTTCTCATTTCTTCCTACGCTGAGATCTGGTTTGTTCTCTCCCACAGTAAGTTGTTGCTGATAGTGTCTGGCCAACGGATCTGAAGTATTTTGCGTAGACAACTGTTAATAAACACTTGTACCTTCTGGATGATGGCTTTTATAGTTCTCCAAGTTTCCGCTTCATGCATTAGAACTATCTTGACATTTGTATTGAACATTTTGACTTTGGTGTTGGTTGAAAATTGTTTTGAGTTCCAGATGTTCTTCAGTTGTAAATATGCTGTTCTTGCTATGCCGATCTGCACCTTCACAAATGCATCAGATCCACCATATTCATCAATGATGCTGCCCAGATATGTCAAGGTTTTTACATCTTCCAAGTCTTCTTCGTCAAGTGTGATTCGATTGTTGCATACTGTGTTGGATTGGAGTATATTGTTTTTCCACTTTGTGTATTTGAGAACTACTGCTGTTGAAGCTGCCTCTACACTGGACGTTTTCTCTTGCATTTGTTGTTGCGTGTACGATAGAAAACTAACAGGCTAAGAAAGGCTACTGATTCCTGATAGCCAATTGCTTGTGCAATGGGGTGAAGTTTAATTCACTTGATATTGTTTTATTTGAATCTTCCCATTGAGGTTTAGGACTGTAATTGTTCAGTCTCTTATTGGTATATGTGCATAATGTGCGTATGCCTCGATATTTCCTTAATTTACAAGCATTATAAGCGAAGATGGATAGTAGCTAGCAGTGGAATCCAGGACGCGCGTTTCGTCCTATTTGGGAATCGTCAGCTGGATGTACCTGCATCCTAAACCTCAATGTGAAGATTCAAATAAAACAATATCAAGTGAATATAAGCTGGTTTGTTCTCTCTGAAAATAGAATGTTGCTGATTGTATGCAGTCAACTGGAATTCAGTATCTTTCGTTGACATTTGTTTATAAAAGCCTGTAATTTTTTGATGATGGTCATAGAATTTTTGTGAATTTGATTTTACTTGACAGTTGTTTTGAGTTTTATATATTCATCAAATGCAAGAATACAGCCCTTGTTTGGTCAATCCTTGCCTTTACGTCTGCAACAGATTCACCATGTTCATTGATGAAGCTATTTAGATATGTGAAAGTTTCCACCTTTCTTTGAGCTTCTACTTCAAATGTGATTGGGTTGGTGTTCTATGTCTTGTATTTGAGGATCATGGTTTTAACCTTGTAAATGTTGAGGCTTACTTATGCAGATGCTGCTGCTACGCTAGCTGTCTTTACCTGTATTCTTTGATATGTATGGGATAGATAGTTGAAATGTGGTAACATGAAAATAATTGCACAGGAGTAATAGTTATCTAAGATGACCATGGGTTGTGAAAGATCGAAAGGATGGTTAGGACCATGGAAGAATGAGATAATGAACACTATAGTTTTTGTACGCAAAAGCTGGGCTTATTTTGGTGGACACTAATAGCCTCTGCTGTACATAAGTTTTTGATATGCATCCCTATTGTGTCAACTCTTCGGACTGTATGTATGATTTCGAAGGAGGCTTCTGGTGAAGCGGAACGACCGAGATTGACTAGATGCTCTAGGACTGAGATCTTGACTAACAAAATCGAGGAGCTAGGCATGATTATGTTCGAAAACGCATTTTGATCTGGATAACCCTGTGCCAACGTCTCTGATTGTGAAGCTGAGGGCCATGGGATTGAATCTGTCAGAGAGCATCAGTCCTCTCAAGATAACAGGTACACCTTGCTGACGAGTGTCAAGTAGCACAAAACCTAGGTCTAGATTTCGCTGTTGACTACCTTCAACCACCACCTTATCTCAACATAGCGCACGCAATGTCGAGTCACCTAGACTAGTGGCCACATTGTAACTTGGTCGATAGCATTCGATCTGCACTAGGAAAGATGTGACACACATGACATTGATCACCACCCAGTGTTCAATCAATTGCAAATCACAATGGATTTACATAATACGTATACATCGCCTTCGATTATCCGCTTGCATCTTACGGTGTTTTCTGTAATCCACACTGTCGTTTCATCTCATCATTAAGTGTTTTCTACTCCGTGTCTCTGATTCACTGAATCTCTTCCACGTCTGTGACAACTTGGAGGATGCGTCTCGCCTTATACTACTTACAATCAATGTTGTTCACTTCAACGAGACTTGTATTATTTTGTGTATTTGGCCTTAAGTGTTCTCCATTCTTTATGTTTTGTTGCGAACTGAACGTGCCTGTGTAATATGTTAGTTGTCATTTTGAGAAAGTTCAAATTCATGTGTTTCATTGATATATGAGGAACGATACTTTTCACTATAGGGTTGTACAGAGTGTTGAGATTTCTTATAGTGAGATCATGAACAGATAAATGTTAGTCCAGTGGTTTCAGGTTTTAAATGGTGGTCTTACATTGATCGGTTCATATTCTCAACTAAAAACGATACTTGTGACACATTTGAATACACAAACTTTGAGTCCGTAGTCGATTCAAGGAACTTCACATATAGGAAATATCTTGTTTATAAAATATGTCTAACACTTCAACATAAAGACTATCCGACATTCAGAATATAAAGACTGAATAATGAGATGAGATCGTAGAAGACGACATAAGCACTGAAGATTATTGATAGGTTAGTTATAGAATCAACAGCGTAGGCAGAAAAGACCACCATTAGAAACCATGAATCACTGGATAGCCATTCCATCCAAGTATGAAACTTTTCACTAGTGCGAATTCATTTCTCCACAAGTGGGACTCGAACCCAGGAACTTTGGTCTCATGCGCTAACGCTTAATATACAGACCAATCAGCAATCAACAAACATATTGAAATCAATCCGATTTATCAACCAATCAGGAAACTTATGCACAAATATAGGAACAAGAATCAAACCAATAGGAGACAAAACCAAGGCAAAAAAGTAAACAATGACAAATTTAAGGTCAATAAGAACCAATCAACATCGAGGTGCACAGAACAAGCTGTGAAACACATATGGAGAAATTCGAACACTTCACTTCTATCTGAAGCTTGTGCTGATGATGTCGTTCAGAAGAACGATGAAAGCTCCACGACCAAACCATCCAGCTCAGAGAACAAAACTCCAAAAATCCTTTATTATAATATGAAAGTTAATAAAATGATTGGAGAAAATCTAAACTACTATGTAGTATTAAGTAGTGTAGATTATTACTGATACAAAATAAGTGAAAGACATTCTAGTTGAATTCATGAGTCAATTGAAGCTAAACTAACATGAAAAACCTGAAAGCACTGGATGGCCGTTTCGTCTTAGTATAGGAATTATCGATCCACGATCCTAACTCACGAGTTTTGAATCTAGGAAAAAGGCTTAATAGTCGCCACAATCTCATACTGATACCGCTTAATCAATGAATATTTTCCGAAGAATTTATAAACTGAACCAGAATTGTAGTCCTTTGCATATTATGAGTACCTCATTGAGTAATACATTCTAATATGCATTGAATAGAAACATTGATGAATGTCGATCGATATTATTGGTAGTTGTTCCTCATAAAATCACGATGTTGTATGATCATTATCTGTTGTCGTTGGTGAAATGGTTGATTTGCAGTTATCACAGTTTGTCCAGAATTACATCTTGAAGCCCGTCACTAGTAAGCACATGATAATTTTCAGTATGGGGTTAAATTTTATTATACTCAAAAAATGATCAATGTTTGACCACTACTGAACGCCTGAAGGCATTGGACGGTTGTTTTTCCTCAGTAGTAAGTATCCACGATCCTGAATGCGGTAGAGAGAGTTACTTCTCGGAGTACTAATATTGAGCCATGACAAGTAAAATCAAACCGTGTCAGGTGTAAGGCAGGTGCCCACTGAAAATAAGTCAGAAAGATCGCGCAATATCGTGGATTCTTTAAAGCTTAGCAATAACACCTTTGATACCAGCTCAGTGGTCTAAAACTTGAACATTCATGCTTGTCCGATGGTTGCGGGTTCGAGTCCGGCGTTCACATTTTACTCAATTGTAAATTAATAGAGGAATTAGTTAGACAGATCATATTTTGTAATGAATAAGAGCTTGAAAAGGGTAAATTATTGATATAGACAGTATATGTAGTAAGGTGTAATCTTTTAGTTTATGACAATGGTGAATCCAATGGTGCATGGTGTAAACCCGTGGATGACCAACGCTCAAGAGTCCGATGCTCGAATGAAACGACTGTTCAGTGCTTTAGGTTTTCAATAATAGCCTAGCTTAGATTGACTTATGAATTCAACTACTAAAATTACCACAATCTTCACAAACCCCTCCCCCATTCTGATAAACTTTTAATATAATATCTGTATATAGGCTCAGAGTCAAAATGTGGGACGTAGTTAGACAGATCATAGTTTTGTGATAAATAAGAGCTTGAAAAGGGCAAATTATTGATATAGGCAGTATATGTAGCAGGGTGTAGTGTATCTTAATGACAATGGCGAGACCAAGGTTCCTGGGTTCGTACCCTATGTGCAGGATCATGGATGAGCACCGTTCAGGACTCCAATGCTGAAGTGAAACGGCTGTTCAGTGCTTCAAGTTTCCAATAGTGACCTAGCTTAGATTGACTTATGAATTCAACTACTAAAATTACAACAATCTTCACAAACTTTTAAAACTAGATGAGTATATAGACTGATAAACAAAATACGGAATGTAGTTAGACAAATCATAGTTTTGTAATAAAAGTGCAAAGCAGATTATTAATATAAGTAATATATGTAGAAGGGTGTAGTATAACTTGACGACAGTGTACGCCTATTTCACCTTTCTATGAAACCAAAACATCAATAAAAATCTATAAACTAATATAAATAATAAACTGATCAAATCAATCGATTGAATGAACATACAACATATTTATAAGTAAACTTAGAAGAAGAAGAAGAAGAAGAAGAAGAAGAAGAAGAAGAATAGAAGAACTAGTCCCCAATTGATTAATACATTTCATCATGATGATTACTATAGTGATTATTTCACTTCTGTTATTTCAATCATTTCAATCTACAGCATCGAATTCAAATAGTATGTTCATTCAGAAAATGATACTTTCATGTAAATGTATTATATAATAATACAGTACGGAAATATTTAGAAAGTCTATAGTTTGTTATACAATCGTAGGATTGATTGATTTGTAACATGAGAGTTATTACAATATAGTTATTGCATATCTAATACTAACAATATCCTGTTCATGTATTTAATCAACCATTCTAATGGAAGCAGATACAACTGTCGCGTAAGTTTAGCGTATAACACATTCCATAGAATAATCTCTTAACCTTTATTTACTCAGCATGTCATTGATCCTATTCTATGAAGTTCAGTTTTAATGTCATTGAATTATTGTTTATTTATTTAAACATATAAATATTGGTACAAACAGGGAACCAAATAGATATACGCCACATAAATCATTTGATTTGTATAAGGGCTGTGATACTGACAGGGTGCCCAGACCGAAACAGGTGGTTTTCTCAGGAGGCCAAACCGGGACCTTTTGACCTAAATGTCTAACCCAAAAGGCAATGGAGCAACATCAGGAGATGCAGTCCTATGGTAGCTTATGACCAATAAGTAGTTCATATGTCATTTGTTTATTCAGGATACTGAAGCCCATATGCACCGTTGGTTTGAAATGATGGTTTTCCAACTACCCTACGTGGACTATTCTTGTAGAACAACTCGGTTAAAGCGTCGGACATTCGCTTTTCGTCTTCTCAATTTTTTTAAACAACAGTTATTCCGCAAGATGTCAGTGAGCAGGACTTCCCTTACAGTGGTTGTATGCACGTGTTCATGTGAGAGAATTTCGAGAGAGAGAGAGAGAGAAAGATCTGATTCTCCCCACTTTCAGCTTTACCGGTGCATATGGAGGCGTATTCCTGTTTACTTAATGTAAATCTAATAACACTATCTTGTTATTAGTAGACTATTGAAAACACGATACATTGTTACTTTGTCGTTCATTTCATAATTTTTTGTTTTCAATCCTGAAGATTGAATTTAGATCAGTTTCTGTTGTTATATGTATACTTATGGATCTTGAGTGAATAACAAAATAGATGATAAAGATTATCAAGTTGGTTACTTCCAATTCAATCAGTTATCTAAACTTCACTATAACAAGATCAATTTCTCTATCGATATATATTACTTAGTTCAAATACTTTATATAATCTATGATCTATTGGTTATGTGTATACAATAACACTTTTAGAACGCCTACTCCATGGGAGTAAGTTTTCATGCTAAACATACCATTCTGTTGACTATTTGTAGGGTATTTGTCAAATTTTGAACTTAGTGTTTGGTGACCGTAGAACAAATAATGAATAAGAGAAATTATACGAATTAAATGTAGAATGTATTTCATTAATCGAATGAATTCAATTTAAGATTGATATCATGAATGGATAGGTGTTAGACCATCATTGAAAACCTAGAAGCACTGGATCAAAGTTTAGTATCAGTATGAGAAGTCCGTATTCACAATGCTACATTCGGTACTCGAGCCCAGGACCTTCAATCTTGTGAGCGAATTCTTAACCTGTAGACCGATGAGCCAGCATCTAACGGTTGTTATCCATTCCTCTTAAATATGAAAGGTATCTATATTGTTTAATACAATCAGTTTGGTTTATCTAAATACAATGTATACGCCAATTTTATTATAAATCATTTACCGACATTAATAACATGATGTAGGAGATTTAAAAACGGATTCCAGTAAGTTGTTACTAAAGTTCATAATTATTTCTATATTCTTTATATATTCATTTATAGTCTCCTGTTCATACAGTCACTGTTGAAGATTTAACCGGATAATGCGTCATCTTCTGATGAAATGGAATACATGAGAATTCATGGCTTGAATGCAACTAATGTCTGATTATTCAAAGTCATGACTATAATCATATGTGATAATACTAAGCATACATCGTAAACCAGACTTCCTTGATTACTTATACCTGTTACACTTTGTGGAGGAGAATAGGTCACTCACCAGAATTCTACATCCAACATTGTCCTAGACAATCCTTTCCAGTTGTTTCAAGTTACTATTTATCGTATTCATGTCTGCTTCCAGTTCTCGGAGCAGTATGTTGTTTAGCCTTCCTTTATTTCCTTTTACCTTCAAAATTTCAAGTTAGAGCTTACTTTCTAATACAGATTGATGATTTCCACAATGTATATCCTATCCACTTTTAATGTCTTTTCCTAATTTCCTCTTCAACTAGAAGTTGATTTGTTCAATCCCACAGTAGTTTATTGTTGATGGTATCCGATCAAGGGATATTGAGTATTCTACGTACATTTTAAGTGATGCTTGTGGTATTTCTCTTAGTTTCAGATCCATTCATTAAAACTATCTTGATGTTCTTATTGAAGATTTTCACCTTGATATTGATTGATAGTTTATTTTTAATCTTATAAGTTCTTCAACTGTTGAAATACTGTTCCTATTTTGCCAATCCTCACTTTTACATCTGCATCAGATCCTTCTTGTTCATCAATGATGCTCCTTAGGTACATGAAGCTTAAACCAAATGGGCAATATTGACAATATTACTAGTTATGATATGGTTTAATTCATCAATTCGTTTAAATGTCATGTTCACTTTACTTATGTTTCTTTCAATTCATACCATAATTAATTGTATACATTGTAATGAAGTAAGAATGTTATACAATTACATCATCTAGTCTATATGTATCTACATATTGTGTATAATGTAAATGTTATTATCTTTTATTCAAGTGTACTTTTAGACTTAATTTGGTAAGTTCAATTTAAAAACAATCCATTCTCAACAATGGAGATCTCAAATTGAGATCATAAACTGATTAATGTTTGGCGATCATTGAAACGGTCATCTAATACATTCAAGTTTATAATAGTGATCTAATATCAATCAATTGATGATCTCGATCAATATGAATTATGTTTTAAGGTTATTTAATGGATTTGTAAGTTAGGTTAAGAAATCCAAACATTGAATCATTGTAGTTATATCCGGATGAACAATAGGTGAATAGTAACCGATAGGATCAACTAAGTAATTATAATATATGTTTATTTATATTATTATCAGAAGGGATTGTATGGAGATTTTAGAAATTTCACTGGTTGAAATCATGAATCCATTGAAGCTAGACCACCATGGAAAACCTGGAAGCACTGGACGGCCGGTTCGAATCTCGCGAGGAGCGGGATCGTGGATGCGCACTGCTGAAGAGTCCCATACTAGGACGAAACGGCCGTCCAGTGCTTCCAGGTTTTCCATGGTGGTCTAGCTTCAATGGATTCATGATTTCAACCAGTGAAATTTATTTATATTACTTTATTATTAGCTTCCATTTGACCTATGAACTATTATTATACGGTTTACTATTCTTAAGTTAACCCCGATACATTAATTACAGTATCTCACAATCACAGCCACTTTCCACTTGGCCGCTGACCAGCATTCTATAACCCACTCTGTCCTGGAACTTTCTTTCCAGTTATATCCTAGTTTTGTTCATTCTTCTCATGTCTATCTCCATTTCTGGACGTAATGTGTTCTTTGGTCTTCCTCTTCTGCTTTGTCACTGAAGATTTTATGTGAGGTTCTGCTCTGTGATGCAGTTGGGTGCTCTCCTCAATGTGTGTCCTATCCAATTCTAGCGCTTCTTGCTGATTTCTTCCTACGCTAGAATCTGGTTTGTTCTCTCCCACAGTAAGTTGTTGCTGATAGTGTCTGGCCAACGGATCTGAAGTATTTTGCGTAGACAACTGTTAATAAACACTTGTACCTTCTGGATGATGGCTTTGGTAGTACTCCAAGATTCCGCTCCATATAGTAGAACTGTATTGATATTTGTATTGAAAATTCTGACTTTGGTGTTGGTCAACATTTGTTTTGAGTTCCAGATATTCTTCAGTTGTAAATAAGCTGTTCTTGCTTTGCCGATCTGCGCCTTCACAACTGCATCAGATCCATCGTTTTCACTAATGATTCTGCCCAGATATGTCATGGTTTTTACATCTTCCAAATCTTCTCCATCAAGTGTGATTCAATTGGTGCGTGTTGTGTTTCATGAGAGTATCTTGCTTTCTCCATTGTTTATGTTGAGACCTACCTCATCTAAGACTGCTGCTACACTGGTCGTCATTTTTTAATTTGTTGTTGTGTGTGCAATAAAAGAGTCAGATCATCTGCCAAGTCTAACTCGTCCAGCTGTATCCTAGCTGTCCACTTTATCCCATGCTTCCCCCCCACTTTTGACATCCTCTTGGATAATTGTTATGTTGTATTCAGTGATGTGATGCGCTCAGGTTTGTTTTTATATATAAACTAAGTATGTTTGAAATATATGATTCATATTAGGGAAGCTGATGTTGGTGTTCTGCAATGAATCGGCTGGATTAGGAAAATAGCAACTATTTCAGAGGACCAATAAGAACTCACTACTGTTCGGACTGGTTTATATGTCATTGATATGGTCAATAGACTAACATTTTAACTGGTGATCATATCAGATGATAATTAACAGGCTATAAGACCACAACACTGTACACTTAATATGATACAGTTAAAAATGGACACAATGACTAATGAATACTTGAAATAGATTTTAGAGTGTTATCAATGACCGTATTGTTGTTTAATATTTTTTTTCCTATAGTACAATCAATTCATTCTGGTATGTTTAATCGTTTACGTTTAAGACTTGGCGTTTTGGATAAAAATAATTAGTAACTAGGGCATACAAGTTTATTGAATGATTAGCTAATGACGGACACCTTGTAGTGTATGTAAACTATACAATCAAAAACAATCTTAAGAAACCCAATATATTAATATATCCAATTGGTTAGCTACAATTAAATCATTTAGATTATGAATTCACTTGATGTTGTTTTAATTGTATCGTCCGATTGTTATTTATGATGGCAATTGATCAGTCTGTTGTTGGCATATGAACATCCTATGCATATTACTTTGATATTTCTCTAGATCACAAGCTTCATAAGCAAAGATGGATAGTGGTTAACAGTGGAATCTAGGACACGCGTATCGTCCGATCTAGGACACGTCAGATGGATGTACCAGCATATCAGAGTTGATGTTCACTCTGGGACCCGAACCCAATATCGTTCACTTCAAATGCTATCTCATAATCCACTCAGCTATTGAGTCCTGACAGTCATCTGCTTGTTAACCTGTATTTCAAGTGGCAAATGATCACTCCGTTGTTGGCAATATGAACATCCTGTGTGGACTGCCTCTATATTGCCTTAGATCACAAACTGTATAAGTAAAGATGAATAATCGTTAGCAGTAGAATCTAGAATGCATGTTTCGTCCTATAAGAGACTCGTCAGCTAGATATACCTGCATCTTAAAGTTGATATTCACTCCAGGACTCGAACATCCTATGCGGATTGCCTGGATATTACCTTCAGTCATAAGCAAAGATAGATTTAGACTTTGTTCTATAACATTATAAATCTTATACTTGTAACGTATTCAGCTAATAAAAAATGGGTAATTTCTTTACATTTTAGGCAAACTATCAAAAATATCTTTGGATATATATTTTAATGTAAAATACCATTTCATTCATAATCAAATATGTAAAAGAATTTTTTTCTTTAAAAAAATCGATTCTTTTTTTCTTTTTTTTTTTTGGTTGTTACTCAGCTCTTTTTGGATCTCTGTTACCAAGATAATCTCCTGAGGAAATATTGAAGTAAAGTCCATGACTCAGTAGTCTAGTGATTAGGCAAGACTGATAGGTACTTGGTACGAATCACTCAAGGCACAGTCATGGATGCAAACTTCTAAGAAGTCCCATAATGAGACGAAACGACTGTCCAGTGCTCCCAGGTATTCCATAGTGGTCTAGCTTCAATTGACTCATGATCTCAACTATGAAAAAATCACTCTAATATCCACAAAACCCCTTCTGATCCTTAGTATTCAGATCATAATAACGGAGAACATATTTCAGATATGAAACATTAGTCTTAATTACTGAACCCTGTTTTGTCCTAACCTAGACGCTACGTCAATATAGTCAACTTTATAAATGTTAATACAGTTTGGGTTAATGTAATATAAATTATTCTGTCACTTTCATTAAAGTATCTGAATATCTTATATCTCATGTAGCGAAAATGCCATGGAGAACTACTTATAAGTAGTCAATGCTTGATAGATGGAATGGACGAGAATACTGATAAGGACAACTAATGTATTTCAATACAATATTACAAAGTTGTTTCATCGAATGTGAAGTTCATTAGTTCAATACTTTATATGCAAATCTTTCATCAATTATCTTAACCTTCATCGTTTCTTTTCCAATTCTCTTCGATTAGATCTTCTTAACCTTCAACTATCAAGCTTTCCATTTCTTACCAGTGTTATATACTACTTATGTTTATCAACAAAAGGAGTATACACCATATTTCTTTTAAGTAAGGTTACCTTACATTGTACATAACTACAATATCAAACATAAAACTTAAAATAACCCCCCACCAAAAAAAATTAATTAGTCAATATCCTGAAATATTTGTTACCAACTTGTAACAACTAATTAATTTGTCATCATTGAGATTTGTTCGGTTGTCATAGCAACAGAAAACAATGATTACTCATCTAACTAGATTATAATACTAAAAATATAACAAGCTTAATTTAGATTAACCACACAAATTATGTTACGAGATTTAGATATACCATCTATTTCACATAGATCATACATAGATTATGTATATAGATACATAGAAATACAAAATGCATTTCGTTACCATAGTTTCCAGATTTTACATTGTATTATGTATGACTATGAACCTTTCAAATTTAGAAACTAATCTGATGATTCACTAATCAATTAGTAATACAATAAAATAATCAACCATACGTAGGAATGTTTCCATTGAAAAAATTGCTAAATCCAACTTAAGGCCTCTTAGCGGCAATCATGATGACTAAATTAGGCAGTCGATGAAGATTGGAGTAATCAAACATTTCGTTGTATCTTCGACTGAGTTGGGTTCGAACTCAAGGCTCATTTAACCTCATCGAACCACTTGATGTTTATGTCTATATATATATAATACAAAGGATGTGCTTGTGATGTCGTATAAAGGAAACGTGAGTGACTTAGTCTTTCAGGTGTAAGACATAATGAAATGATATGGTAGCAAATACTAGGTAGAGAGAACCAACAACCTCCTCTGAGAAATTGCTTATTCTTATGTGTATATCAGGAAGTACTGGGGCGGTAGTCATGGGCTAAATGATATGCCTATAATGTATAAAAGACAGTCTGTTGTACCAAATACGTTCCTAAAGGAGCGGTGAATATCTACCCTCCCAAGTTGATGAATATACTTATGCCATGAGATGCATGGGAAAAAAACCTGTGTTACCGATGTGTATGTAACGTACATTTGTTTACAGAGTAGGTATACATGTATGAATGACAAGGAATACCCAGGTAAAACTCCGTCTGTTACCTAGTATGTGTGAAAACTATACATAGCCAGGGTAAGCGAAAACTTCAAAACTCCTTTACTTGCTCTTTATATGATATCGAGATACATTCGAAGTCCTGTATGGCCACACTTTCCCACAAAATCACATCCGCGCGGTGGGTTTGTGAGACTTGAAAACACGACCTCCATTTTAGCAGGGTCTACATAGGCCTTCCCAGAAAAAGCTTTATACACCAGTCTAAATGAAACACCATCACAATATATTCCACTTCATGGTAATAACATAGAGTGTTCAGATGATGTCAGTGACAGTTGAGAAACTATACTCCAATAGTATCGAATTACAATGACTCATCTAGATGTAAAAATGTTTCATCAGTATAATCATGGTTACACGGTTAAAATCTTAACTTTATTTATTTAAACACATAAATATGGGTACAAACAAGCATCAAATAGATATGGGCCACATAAATCATTTGATTTGTGCAAGGGCTGGGATACTACCCGAGTGCCCAAACCGGAGCAAGTGGTTTTCTAAGGGGACCACACTCGGAGCCTTTGATTTAAAGCAGTGGAACAATGTTATTAGAAACAGTTCTATGATAGCCGGTGACCAATAATTGGTTCGTACGCCGTTTGGTTCTTTAGGATACTCGAGCCAATGTGCGCTATTGGTTTGGAAAGATAGTTTTCCAACTGCCCTAGGTGAACTCTCCGTGTACGACAACGTGGTTAAAGAGTCTGATATTCACTTTTCGTCCTATCAATCTCGCAAACAACAATAATTCCGCGAAAAGCCAGTGGGTAGGAATTTCTTGAAAATGGTTGTATACAGGTGCCCATGTGAGATCATTTCGACAGTGCTAGAGGACTCTCCCCACCGTTGACCATACCAGGGTATTTGGAGGCTTAATAACTTGATGTAAAACAGTTATTCAAAAATCAATGTTATTTCGACTAAATTATGATCACTATACACCGTAGATTCACATACTAAGACGAAGGAAAATAGTTACTGACCTAGAACTTGAGAGCTACGGTTCATTTTTAATATCTCAGTACAAATATAACTAACATTCCATACTAAATATCAATAGAGGAGATATTTAAAGTCTCACTTTTAACACGTTAGTGACTATCTTAACTGACTAGCATAGTAGATAATGGAGTTAGTTTCTGAAGTAATTCGCAGTGGGTTCAAGTTTTTTATATGAATATCAACACAATTGTAGTTATATCCATCTGATAATCTATTAAAGACGTTAGATCCCTAGAACTCACTTGGATAACACCCAATTTTGTAATTTTATTTAACAAATTTGAATTTCTTTGTTTTCGCGCCAAAAGCGCTCTTTTGACCTTCATATCGTATTTCCAACTTGGGAGAATCTTAAATGCTATTGGTCCGTTGTTTCTTTTAGTATGCTATTTGGTAACTCTCCCCAAGGATGATTTTGTGCTGTATATATACATTATGATTTGTGTTTGTTGTTATTGCTCGTTTTCTGACTTTTGCGGAATATACTTCCCCATTCCAAACTTGGACTTCTTCTTCTAGATAGCGGGGCTGAAACTCATCGAATAGTTAGCTTAATGGTCTTTGGTCACCGAGTCTTTGTTCCGTTCGCAATCTAAGTAAACTTGTAACCGCTTCAAACCTAGTATAATCATTTTAATATCTCATGATAGTCAGAATCTAAATTTATCAAAAGGTTAAATCTAAAGTTTGTTCAATGTCAATCCTCTAAAGATGTGAATCGATATCTTAGAATGACTTTCGACAACAGTTTATCTATTTATTTATTTTAACACATAGGTATTGGTACAAAGAGGGATCAAATACATATGCGCCACACAAATCTCAATTGATATGTATGAGGGCTGTGATACTGCCTGGTTGCCCAAACCGCAGCAAGTGTTTTTCTTAGAGGACCACACCCCGAGCCTTCGACCTGAATGTCTGACCCACAAGACAGTGGGAAATCGTGAGGAGATTCAGTCCCATGGTAGCCGGTGACCAAAGATTGGTTCATACGCCATTTGATCCTTCACGATACTGGAGCCAGCCCATGTGCACATTGGTTTTGGATCCGGTTAAAGCGATGGACATTCGCTTTTCGTCCTCTCATTTTCGTAAACAACACCACCACGAGAAAGCTGTGAGTAGGACTTCCTTTGAAGATGCTATATACGCGTGGCTATGTGAGAGCAATTCGAGAGGGAGAGCGGACTCTCCCCACTCTCGGCCATACCAGGGCATTTGGGGGCAACAATTTACATTTAAACATAAATTCAACATTTAGGAATTTCTAATTCAACTCTGTAACAAATGAAATCAATCATGGGTGTTACTACTGATTCGAATTTTAATTACTCAGATTAGATATAGAATATAAGCATTACATATTGTAAATGCCTTTATCATTCAATGCATTCAAAATATGCTTCATAACTTCTATAGTCTATATTACTGAACACACCTTGAAATCAATAAGCCAGTATATTCAAGTTGAGATATATAATATGTTATAACTTGTGACCGTGGTTTAGAGGAGAGATGGCAGTGAGTTATCGATCGGACCAAAGACCCGTAAAACACGTAAGAACAACCTAGAGTTCTGATTGGCCCTGCTTCCCTGTCTAGCCCAGCTAGTTGAGTCCAGAACACAAGTCTCAGCCTCGGTGATATGAATCATTATATTTCAAACATACTCTGTTTATATACCAAACAAACAGACTACATCGTACCATAAAATAGAAAGTAACATTTGTACAAGATTTAACCTCCAGGAATGACACAAATAAATATTGACCAATAGGGAAATAACACCATTTCTCATTCAGGAATAGCATTAGATAATTTTTGGGGTATTTTCTGAATACCCTAACATAATATCTAATTAAATGAAAGTTATAAACAAACCAAGCATATAATGATGACAGTTAATGTGTTCAGGTTTTTTCAATATAAGACTCCCCAGTAGTGCGCATCCGCGATCCCTCGTTGCAAGATTCGAACCTGGAATCCATCAGTCTTGCGCGCGAACGCTTAACCACTAGACTACTGAAGAGTCTCGTAATGGGACGAAACAGTCGTCTAGTGCTTCCAGGTTTTCCATGATAGTCCAGATTCAATTGAGTCATGGATTCAACTACTAAATTGAAAT